ATGCATGAGCAAGACTAAGTATAGAATATCAGTGAATGTAATGAGATGACAGCAAGAAACGACCACTCGGGTCTCAATAGTATCGGCATGAAGCCCTAACATGATATCTAACATGTCTTCATAGCACATTTACTTAATCACATGATAGAAATGCGAATATCAACAAGAAAGAGTTACTAAGGGGTGCCATGGAATGATTCAGGCCGCAATTCTCACGGTGCACGTCCACACGCCCATCACTTGGTATTTGCGTCACCTCAATAGTAATCATAAAATACATAGTTCGGGGTTTTGAACCCTCAAAACTAAGTTTGGAAGCGTTACTTACCTCAAATCAAACCAAACTCTAGCCCGCGACGCCCTTGCCTCTCGATTCGGCCTCCAAATGCCCCGAATCTAACCAAAATCAGTATATAACCATCAATATACGCTAAAGGAATGAAACCCATATGAAAATTATTAAATTAACTCAAAAATCCCGAAATTGGTCAAACCCGACCCCCGGGCCCATGTCTCGAAATTCGATAAAAATCACATCACAAGAATCCTCATCCTCCCATGAGTCCATACATACCAAGAACATCCAAAATCGAACCTCAAATGGCCCCTCAAATCCCCAATTTAAACTCTCCAATTCCAAGCCCTAATTCCCCAATTTTTAACACTTAAATTTCACTAATTTCATGTCTAATCAGTTAGAAATCACTATAGAATCGAGTGTTAAGTTCACAAATCTTACCTCCAAGCGTTACCCCTTGAATCCCTCTTCAAATCCTCTCAAAAAGCTTCAAAGCCGTTCAAAAATGGTGAGAAAAGAGCTGAAAATCGCGAAGGCCTCTATTTATACTCTCTGCCCAAGTGCTCCCTTCTTTGCGAACGTGGTCAAAGCCTCGCGTTCGCGAAGCACAAAAATACTGCTCAATCTTTTCCTCTTTCACGAACGCGAACTCCACCTTGCAAACGTGATGCCTTGCCTAGCTTGGCCTATGCGAAAGCGTTCTTCTGGCCGCGAATGCGATGCCTTAGGTCCTGATGCCCAAGCCTGTTTCACCCTTCTATGCGAACGCGAGCTCTGCCATACGTTCGCGATGCACACTCTGCCTCAACCTTCGCGAATGCAGGACCAATATCGCGAACGCGAAGAGCAACTCACCTGCCTCACTCAACATCCCTTCGCGAATGCGAGAGCCCTCTCGCGAACGTGAAGAACAAATCTCTGCAACAAAAATACCAGAAAATCTGCTATCTTTCCAAAGTCCAAAATGATCTATTAACCACTCGAAACTTACCCGAGGCCCTCGGGACCTCAACCAAATATGCCCACACATCCCATAACATCATTCAAACTTGTTCCAACCTTCGGAACTAAAACAACATCAAAACATCAAATCACCATCGGATTCAAGCCTAAGGATTTCCAAACTTTCAAATTTCGCAAATGATGCAAAAACCTATCAAACCTCATCCGAATGACCTGAAATTTTGCACACACGTCACAAATGATACAATGGACATATTTCAATTTCTGAAATTCCATTCTGACCCCGATATCGAATTTTCACTACCGACTGGAAAATACCAAATTTCCAATTTTGCCAATTCAAGCCTAAATCTTCCATGGACCTCCAAAATACATTTCGATCACGCTCCTAAGTCCCAAATCACCTAACGAAGCTATCCGAACCATCGGAATTCACATCCGAGACCTTTTTCACATAAGTCAACCTCCGGTTGACTTTTCCAATTTAAGCTTACTCAAAAGAGACTAAGTATCTCATATCTCTCCAAAACCACTCTGAACCCCAACCAACCAACCCGATACTACATAATATAGCTGAACAAGACATAAAGAAGGAAAAATGGAGGAAACAGGGCAGAAATTCATAAAACAACCGGTCAGATCATTATACATGGAGATGGTAGAGTGATGTGCAAGGCGGTGTGCACATAAGAATAAGCTAGTTGCGAGCTTCCGTTGCCATAATGCTCAAATAATATGGGTGACACACAATGAATCTCGAAAATTAACCCCTGGATCGTGATAATGAGTCACATGGAACTTAGTCGAGAGGGAGACTCATGAATTGTGGGTGAGTCACGTGGAACTTTGTTCGAGGGGGAGATTGTTGGATGTGGGAACAAAGTCTCACATTGGTAGCTGAAAAGATTGGGAGCCTACATATAAGGTGTAGGGATATTTTAGTGGTGTGAGGCCTTTTGAGAAAACCGTGCGGGTTCCAAAGCGGACAATATCACACCATGTTAAGAATAGTTTTGGTCCGTTTTAGCCCAACAACATTAAATTAACTAAGGATAAAATAAGAGGTAAGCCCTCCGGACAAACCAAACTCAAGTATCTCTATCACCCGCATTCTGCTGGATAATATCAATAAAAACGACATATTCGTATTTATGTAAAACCCTCAAATACTGGCAGTACCTAAAATATTATCAACATAGTGGTCATCTAATATCTAAACTTAGGGGTGTACATGGACCGGGTTGGTTCGAGTTTTTCAATTACCAAACCAAACCAATTGTCTCGGATTTTTAAATCTATAAACCAAACCAAACCAATAAAAGTCGGGGTTTTCAATCTCGAGTTTTCTCGGATTTTTCGATTTTCTCGATTTTTTCGGTTTTTTTTCGACAAGATCTTAATAGCATAAAATTTATAATTTGTGCTCTAATATTTCTTAGGTCCTAATAGGATAAAATTATATAAGATGTTAACCAATAAAATAATATAAAATAATGTGAGATGAGTCATGATTATACTAAAATAGTCAATAAATCGCATAAAATAAATATTGTTAATTAATATGCCATAATAAAAATAAATATAATCTAAAAGTACTAAATCATGTTAAAATAAGTACAACTAATAAGTACTAAGTATTAAATACATGACTAAATAATATTAAAAGTAAGTTATGTATTTTCACTATCTAAAGTAATGAAAAACTAAGAAAATAAATATCCAATACTATTGTCATTCCTAGTATTGAATTGATTTTTTTTTGTTAATATATTTATTGATTTGATTTTGCTTTGGAATTTATTTGAGTCACTAATTTTTATGGGCTATAAAACATATTTGACCATTCAAAAATTCTAAATCAAAGCTTGAAATAATACATTAAAAGAGAGAACTATGAAAAATGTTAAAAAATATTTATAAATTACATTACAATAATTATTTTTATGTATAAAATATTTTAAAACTTGTATACATATAATGTCGGGTTGGTTTGGTTTCAATTTGGCTTTTTTTAGTTAAAACCAAACCAAACCAATTATGATCGGGTTTTTTTTCCTAATACCAAATCAAATCAAACCAAACCATAATCGTGTGTTTTTTTCCTCGATTTGACTCGAATTATCGGTTTGGTGCAATTTTTTGGTTTCCTTTGTACACCCCTATCTAAACTTTACAACTCAAAGAAGACTCAAAAAATGACTCATTGAATATATAGAAGTTAGAACGATTCTTAAAAGAAGATCTTCTTCTTCTTTCACCACTCCCATTCCCTCTCTAATTCCTCCAAACTTATATGGCCCTTTTTGCTTCTAACGATGTTTCTCTTGCCAATTGCATTATATAGCTTTCTTCGTAATTAATTATATCGTGAATTACAATATACGGTATCGTGACTCTCTTTGTTATAGGTGTTTTTAAAAAAGATCTTCGAGAAATTAATGCGTATAGAGGATAGGAGTACACGGGTGGATCTTTGATGCTAATCATAATTGATTGAAAAACTTTGCGTTGAAATCATTCTAAAAAATCTTGAGCTTACCCCATAATTATTCCCAATAACAAATATAAAAGGAAAATGAAGAAAAGATAGAAATGAAACATTATTTTGTTGGTTGATATATATTGGCGAATTGCTATATTGGCTTTCCTTATATAGTTATTATTTGATAAAATATTTGAAATTTTATTATGACTAAAGTTTAGACAGATATATCTGAAGTTTGTCTGCACAAGCAATATGTCAAACTTCAATTAAAATTTATAACTTAAGACGAGAATTTTTACAATTTCAATCTTTAGTCGCACACGTTTGAAGTTGATATGACTTGAATAAACTTACAAAAACTATGAACTTCGATTATATATTAAATTTTTTGCCCATTGATCAAGTGACCTTGGGAGAAATGCACCAGTAGCCATTTTTAAGCATGCTATTTAGAATTTATCCACAATTTACAATGTATTTAAAGACTAAATAATTTGTCCAAACTTTAGGACTAAGTATCCTGATTTTTTGTGTCCTAAATTTTTGAGCTAATTTGGAGTTCAAGACTTAGTGTCCTAAATTTTTGAGCTGCTAATTTGAAACTGAGGACTAAGTGTCCTGAATTTTCTGAACTGCTAATTTAAATTTTAGGACATAAGATTCGAATTTTTGGACGCAGTTTTTGAATTTTATGACACGATTCCTGAAGTTTGAGAGAATTGGCTATTCTTTGAATATATCGTAAGCTGTGAATATATTTTAAACAACATGCTTAAAAGTAGATATCTAGTATTATTTCCACAGTGACTCACCTAAAAGGTTAAAAGTTCAAGACCAGCTCCTTTCGAGGTCATACGTGAACTTCACCCTTAATAATCTATCTGTACACTTGCCCCTTACGAATGGGCAAGTGCACAAATAGTCATTTTCAAGGATGCTATTTAGGGATTAGTCAATATTTTTTGTATTAAAATTTTAAATTAAAAATTTTAACTTCAAGATAATTCAGGATATTTTTGTCCTGAAAAATAAACTGAAAAAAATGAAATAAAGGAAAAATAAACTAAAAAACTGAAATAAAGAATATACTGGCTAATTCTTAAATAGCTGCCCTTTAGAATAGCTACGTGGTGTCAGTTCTACGCTTTTACGAAACACAACTGAAGTCCAACTCCAATAGCAACCTAGCCCACTCAAAAATTTGAAGCCCAAACAGTTGTCTCTTTCATTAGCTTTCTCCTATATTCGAACTCCCAAGAATTTGGATTCCAAATTAGGGTTTATCCCTCCTCACTCCTCCGCCTAAAACCCTATTCAAATCGATTGGATTTTCACTGTAAAATGGGTAAGCGGGAAAAGAAGGAAAAGAAATCAGCAAAATCAGAAGCTATAGAGTTAGAAAAATCAGCAGAGGTAAAAATTAAGAAATCTAAAAGAGTGCGAATTAAGGAAATAAAACAAGACTATGATGATGATGATGATGATGATGCTGAAGCTAATGAAGACCTGAGCTTGAAAATCATTGAGAAAGCTTTGCTTCGTGGGTGCTCAGTTAAAAATGGCGAAGCTGTAATTGTTACAGATTTGAAGGGTGAAAGTAGAAAGAGCAAAAAAGAGAAAAAAAAGAAGAAGGAAAAAAGCATTGAGTCCCAAGATGACCCCGTAAGTAGTTCAATTTTGTTTGAAAATTTGTGATTTATTTTAAGAGAAAAGATTTGTGAGTGATTAATATGATTTTCTGTTTAATTTTGTTATTTCAGGTGTCAAGTGGAATAGATAAGGGTTTTAAAACTTTCTGTAATGAGATGTCTCCGGTAATTTGAATTTGTTTTTGCAAGTTTTGTTGCCTGTTTTTTTTGCATAGTTTGTATTCACTGAGTTGCAAGGTTAAAGCTGTATTTGCTTTGAGCTTGATCGCTTATATGTGCTTTATCTTCATGACTGTGTTAGGCGGATGGAGTGAAAGAAGAAAGCATGGATATTAATGCTATGAACGTCGTTGATGCTGCAGCTGAAAAGAATCCTGCTGAGATGCCTAATAATGTTGTCCTACGAAGGCTTCTTGTGAGTTGAAGTAATATGATTTGCAGTGTTTTTCACAAATCCAAACACTATTAAATGGCTTTGTATGGTTTATATCTTTATTATTCATTTGTATGATTTCAGCGGGGTCCGAGGTACTTTGACCCTCCAGACAGCAGTTGGGGGACCTGCTATAATTGCGGTGAAGAAGGTCATGCTGCAGTCAACTGTACTTCAGCGAAACGCAAAAAACCATGTTTTGTTTGTGGGAGTTTTGACCATAATTCAAAACAGTGTACAAAGGTTAGTGGTCTTGCATTTATATAAAGACATCACCGGCAGGTCAATAGTATTAGGCATACACATGGATCTTGCATTTGTATATCCAATCTGAATATCGTCTAATCCTAGGCGCTGGCATGCAGCTGTAGGACTTTGGAAAAAAAGCCAAACATCCTGAAGTGTATTTTGCACATATCACGGAACCACTCTCTGTTTTTCTCATTAGCTTCTAATTAATATTACACATTGACTTTTGCTAGATATGTTACTGGTGCACAATAAGTGACCAATTTACTTTTTTATTTTGGTCCAAAATAAATAAGTGTCCATTTATATAATCAAGAAAATATTCAATTTGTTTTTCCAAAATTACCCTTATGTACATATCCCTAAAATTATGTACTCCTCACATTAAATTATGTTGCAACATTTAATTAAAGGTAGTTTAGTTACACTACCTATTTTTGTCTAGAATTTAATATTTCCTTAATGGGTGTGCAAAAAGCAAATTGGTCATTCATTGTGGACCGGAGGGAGTAATAGACAGCTGTTCCAAATTTTGAAAAACACAGCAGTATGCTATTTATGCAGAATGGTTATCATCTCATTGGAGTTTTATTTCCAACAATTCACATTTCTGAAAATTTATGATTTTGTGTTCACTCTAATTTTATTTGAATGACATGAATTATGGGTGTATAACATTTGTAGATAAACTATTCCAAATTAAATCTTTGATTGGAATACTATCAACAAATTCTGGCAATCTAAATTCACTAGATGTTTCATTGAGTCTCTTCTACTTTCTTGACTTATCTTAATGACATGAGTTGTCCTAGACTTCTCAATTCTTTACAAGCATATATCTATGTCATATGAACCTATCCCTTTAATCATAGCCTACATGTGAGCTTAAGAAGATACTAGATTCAATGCTAACATGGAGACATGTGATTTGCAACCATATGTCTAACTTATACACAAATCAAACCAATACTCACTTAGGACTAAATCCATTTTTTTTTTCAAGTTCCTTCGGATTATCCAATTAATGTGACTGATGGATAATGATCCTTAATCTAACAGATGGATACGACTAGAGGCATTAAGATCAAGATTAGATAATATCCATTAGGAGAAAGCTTATAAAAGAAAAAAAAAGAACTCATGTCTTTTGTATTTATAGACTGCTAAAAAGGGTTAGGTCATCTGACCACTGTTACAGTGCTGAATAACTGCCTCATGTCCATTTATGTTGCTGGTGACACAGCTCTAAAAGTCTGGCACCATGGCGCTGGTCTTCACCAGGTTGTGCGCCTTTAGTATTTTTCTTCGTTTCTTTCTGTAGGAGAGTTCAAATTACCTGCCGTTGATATGTTGGAAACTAGTCTTTGAGAGGGTCTAATTATGCCAACTGTCAGGCCCTAACTCCTAATAAATTAATTTAAATTCAAAAAATGATGTTTATAGCATGTTTCATTAGTAATAGTTTTCCCTCTTCTGAAAAATATATCAAACTAAATGAGAGAACCCTATGAATTGTCTCAACAACCTAGCAAATCTTAAGCTTAAAATGGAAGATCTTATCTATAGAAATCAACTCGAATTTAGTAATGTGATTGTGTTGTGTAGCACTGCCTATGATAGTCTTTTGTCCAAGTTTTTGATGATAGAGGGTCTGTATATTCTTCTCGACTTCAAAATCCCTGCTTAGAATTAGTTATACTTCCAACTAAAACAGTGGGTGATGTGGATGAACGTCGACAAAGCGATTCAACTAACTGTGTACTCTTTGACAATTGAGGTTCACAAAAAGTGGTAAGGCCTACTATGCTGAACCAGAAAACTATCGGAAAAGAAAAACTACGCTGAACCAGAATGCTAACCGCTAAACAGCCACTTCTTCCCAATCATCGCTCATCACAAGTTTTTTAATCGTTATAAAAAGTTTTTTTCCCGTAGTCACTCTCAAAGTAACTTTGTTTTTGTAGTTCACCAATGCCTCTACCTTCTCTCACACGTTATTTATATCAACTTGCCTAGTCCTCCTGTCTGCTTAGCAGATTAAGCTTCTTCACTAGAACAAGGGAAGCATGTGATGATTTTCTACTTTGATGGTATTCTAAGTTGTAGAGTCATGGAGGTGCAGCTGTTGCGTCTTTTTGTTTGTTGTTTAACCTCTCTGGTAGAGGATTTCAGACCTCATCTGTAGGTTCCCTGCTGATCAGGTTATTTTTCTCGTTAGCATTTTGAATATCCTGTAAGAGAGCCTAAAAGAAATTAGGTTTATCCTGAATTTAAAGATCGATATACTACGTGGATCTTAAAATTCCTATGTTATTTCAATTTGTGGTCTTAGGAGTATATATCTCAGTTTGCTGATTTTGGGCAGGGCAAAGATTGTTTCATCTGTAAGAAGGGCGGTCATCGTGCTAGGGATTGCCCTGAAAAAAACCGAATATTTGAAAGTTCAAGACGCTGTTTAAAATGTGGAGATTCTGGCCACGATATGTTCTCATGCAGGAACGACTATTCTGCTGATGATCTGAAGGTATTGCTGAAGAAGCTTTGATAACTTGAGTTTTGTTTGTTTTTGTGCTTAACTTATCTATTTTCCCATTTTCCTCTTAACCTTGACAGGAAATACAATGTTACATTTGTAAGAGATTTGGTCATCTTTGCTGTGCAAGCTACCCTGATGGTGGTCCGAGGGAAATATCCTGTTACAGATGTGGTCTACTAGGCCATACCGGTTTGGTAAGTAAATGGCCATGAAATGACATGACTCCTCGCTTTGTTTGTGTGTTCCCCTTGTCCATATTTTGGAATCTTTTTGGGATGCTGTCATTTTCAACTTACACATTTCCAATGCAGGCATGCACAGGATCTCGTGGGGAGACTAGTGGTACATGGCAGCTTAGTTCTTGTTATTGGTGTGGTGAAGAAGGACATTTTGCACGAGAATGCACTAATTCCAATATCGTAAGTTACCATATCTAATTGACAACTGCTCATTTGCATCCTTCCATCACTTCTTTCCCATTTATCTCAACTTTTCTCTCCCTTTATAGATCATTTCTTACTTCCTACACTAAATCTCCTCATTGCAATGTTACCTTACTGTGTTTCTGTTGTATGTCTAAAGGTCAACAAGTGGAATCGGGAGTTATCGACCCCCAAGATGAAAGTGTCTAAGGAAAGAAAGGAACATCATGAGTTTAGGTCTGTTCCACATGATTTTGGTAAGGCAAGAAAAAAGAAAGCAGAATATGGAGGAGGATATGCATCAGGTTACAATACAAAACAAAGGGCTGGTTGGATCACTGATGATACGGAAGACTTCCCTCGATCCAATGGTTGGAGATCTCCTTCAACTCCTACAAATAAGAGAGCCAGGATATCCAACTTTGGGGCTGGTGGTCATGCTTCTGTTTCTTATTCATCTAGAAAGTCCAACAGGCGTGATTTTGATAATTCAACTTTTTATGGGTCAGGCAATTATCATCACCATAGGTTTTCGGCTTCTCGATTTGGCAACAGCAGTCATGATGGGAGGAGAAATTATAATTGGTAGCGAAAACCCTTTATCTCCTTTTAATTATTATTCTTATATTTTAAAATTTGGTTCTCATTTATTCCATTTGTTGTTCTCCTGCCTAAGTGGCATGTAAAATTAAGTTTTGTCAATTGTTTAACTATCTAGATGTCTTTACCTCTCTTCAAAAGATTGTGAGATGACTGCTCATAGATTCTGCCATTGTGTTCCTCAACAGCATGGTAATTTTATGTCTAATGCTATACATTTTCTTATTTAATTAGTTAGCCATTTATAGTTGAAATCGTAATAACAAATGTACTCTTGTCTAAATTTGTTTTTGACGGTGGCTTCATGTCATATATATATATATATTACCCTTCGGGGAGGGTCTGGGGAGGGTCTCCTGGAAACAGCTTCTCTACCCTTCGGGGTAGAGGTAAGGTCTGCGTACATATTACCCTCCCCAGACCCTACTTGTGGGATTTTACTGGGTCGTTGTTGTTGTTGTTGTATATATATATTTGTTGATTTTATTCAATGAGGCATTCTAAATGAAAGAGCAAGTGAAGGGAACGGCAAAGCTAGTATCATTTTGTTTTGAAATCCACTGATCTAGCCTTAAAAGTTAAGGAATTTTATTGTAGTCATCATATAGAGTGAATTATTTAAAATTATTCTATCTTTGTTTCGCTTATAAAACTACTAGATTGTCGTTTTTATTTTAACTCTCTTGTATCTTACACATATATGAAATGGTATATTACTTTTTTCATAGGTAAACGTTGGTTACATTGACCAAATCACCTAAATTATTGTTGCTTATAGAGACTCCCAATTTGTTTGGGATCCAATTGTAGTAAAATATACAGGAATCAAAGCTCGGGCAAATTGTTGAGTATATTAATGCGTTTTTATATGGTTAACACACTTATTTAAGACTATTTATCTAAGTAACATTGCTTTTATTTTATTTTGAAAATAGCAATTTCTTTTACAGTTATAGCAGGTTTAAAAAATAAATACTACCACGGATTAAGGATATTTTCTCATCATTGACAATCCCAAATTCAACCGTGTCTTGTGCATTCAAACTCACTTTCTCTCTCTTCTTTCTCTTCCCCTCAAACCCAACCTATTTTTTATTGCTGTGGAGAAAATGGAATCTTTGTGGAAATAAAAAGTAAGCATGGAGAGTTTAGAAAAAAATGCAACATGCTAAGTGTTTGCATTTCTCCGACGCAATTCTTTATTTTTTTAATCGATTATTATATTTTTGTACTTGTTTTTTTCTTTTTGACGGACTCTTGTACATATATAATGTATATTACAAATTATAACAGTATTATTATGAGTATAATGATATATGTTATTAACTATACTAATGTATTATGAATGTAATAATATATATTGCTAATTATACAAGTAATATTATGAGTATAATAGTTATAAAATTAATTATACCACTAATATTATGAGTATTTTAATGTATATAACTAATTAAACCAATAATATTATAAATATACTAATTATATAAGTAATTATACCAGTTCTATTATGAGTATTATAACGTATATTACTAAATATACCAATAATATTATGAGTATATACTAATAATAAAATTTGGTGTTCTTTATCTTCTCTATTTTCGAGTTTGCATCTTCCTCGACATAATATAAAATCTAGACCTTTAGAATATATAAAATATGTATATGAAATTTATATATTTATGGTGATTGGGTAAGTGTGATGTTTATAAGTATTATTGTAATTAAAAATATATCTTTAAATACAAAAAAACAGCTAGAATAAGTTAAATTTGCTTATGACAAGTACAAATGAGTTGTAAATGAAGCTGGTTATGTATGTCAAATCAACTCATTCTTTTTCTTTTTCTTTTTCTCTCCTCTTTTTCTCTACTTCAATCCGAACTTTGTCTTTTTCTCTCCGCTATTTTATATTATCTCTCTTTTTCCTTTCTTTTTCTTTTTTGTTTATTTTCCTCCTCCTATCTCCTATAGACTTATCAGACTTTCAACTTCAGTTCCCCAAGAGAATCATGGCAAAGAATTTGGATAAGGAATTAATTATTGGCCAATCCAAATTTAGATTTGTCTCAGCATTAAACTACCGTAAATTTGTGTCACTACAAGTATTTTCCATGCTATAAATTTTAAGCAATACAATGACACTTGCTTAGTCATATTCTTATTCCAGTCAAAATTATTGAAATTATTTGTTACATCTTTTTGACAATTAAATAGATTTTTAAAAGTGATCCTAAATTGTGATTTACCAATAAGTTAAAACTTTTTGTACAACATAGTGGGGAACTAGGATATTTTAAGGACAATGAATAACTATTAAAGCTAGTTTAAATCTATTATATCTATAAATTTATACAGCAAGATATAATATTTTATAAACACGGGATCGAAAGAAAATTGTATGAAGTTTTAAGGAGAAAACAAGGTGTTTATACTTAAGATTTGTCGCTAGGGGTAATATCCCTTGGGTAAAGCCAGTCCCTTAATTGTAACCCACCACATCGAAACAACTAAAGTATATTTTATTTATCACCACATGCACATTCAAAGTTTGAAAGAAAAAAGTATGAGGCATTATCACAAGTACTGTATTTTGGTTACGAACTGATTATGCATAGATTTGTAATGAGAAACTCACGACATGCATCATTTGGCTTTCCTTGTCTCAGGATTAAGGTTTATATATGTTATGTTAACACGATGCAGTCACTGAATAAACCATTTCACTGAAACTTAAAATATTTTATTTAATAGTACAACATTTTACATACCATTTGAAACAAACTTCTTTTCCGAGAAAAGGGTATTGCATGAGTAGTACAATGTTCTAGCTTCTAGAGCTAGAATTTATTCCAAAATAGAAGAAAAACATACTAGCCAAATGGCTTCCAGAACGAGAGCTGGGCTTTAATATTTTTATATAAAGTATGACTGGGACATGCCAATCAATTTGTTTCCGAAATTAGTAGATTGCGCCACAAATAGTTTTACCAGTAATGACATCCCACCTGCAATACTTGCAAACTGTAGCATCACTGCAATCTAAATCTCCGTCACACCTTGCAAAGCAAGTAATAATACGATTATTAGGAAGGAGGAGTAGGTTTTGTTCGATCGCTCGTAATTCAGGAGAAATGTCTCGAACGGCCATTACATAACTTTTCGAAGGCCAAGTCAAATGAGCTGCAAAATAAAACCAAAATAACGTTAGAATGATACAGAGTATTAGTAGACATGTCAATAAAATAAGTTTCACTTTTGCTTAACGGAAACCTAAACGCACATGTGTGTGTATGAAACGCAAGAGATTATGTATATATATTTACGCACGATCAGCGGCGAAAGCTGAATTTTTAAGGGTTCAAAAAATTTTAAAAAATAACTATGCAAAGAAGCTAAGGCAATTCAAGACCAAATATATATTATTGTATTAAATGGGCCGGAACCCTCTTCCGCCCACCTAGATTAAGATACTAGAAAGGAAGAAGATAGTAAATATAGTGATGCAAATGGGGCAGGACCGTACAAAATCATGAAAATAATGCTAAACACGCAACTTATGAGAAGCTAAAATATTAGTAGATCAAGTCTTGCTCTTTGTCCCGTCCTGCTCTGCTCTATTCCATTTACATCCCTATGTATAGACATTAGTTATGCATGAGTATGCAGGAGCAATATTTTTAGGTACTAAGAAAAGGAAAAAAAGAATAAGGATAGTAATTAACCAGTGAAAAGAAGAGCAGTGAAGATGAAAGCCAACTTAAATGTTGAACACAAGCTCGCCATTTTTTGCACTGTTCGAAGAGAGGATTGTTGTCAATGTATTAGTGTGCTAGCATTCCTTTGAAAGGGCACTATTTATAGGCCTTGGTTATAAGGATCACAATCATCTATCCATGATTCCAATAATTGTTTACTGATTATGATATAAGGCTAAGCCTTTCAAGCTTTTCAGTACTGCTATTAATGTCCCAACACAGTACTGATAATATTTTAACACTTTGGAGTAACTAACTTTCCCACAATGATTTGTCTTCATTATATTTTAATATTCTTTTAAAATTACACTCTGTAATTACATACAAGTTGATTTCATGTCATTATCTTTTTAAGTATTTCTTAGTTCTCTTAGCTTTTCGAAGGAGTCATTTGTAATCTCTTTCCAATTAGCTACGTATTTCATCAACTTATCTTTCCGTATTTATGCAATGACAAATTAATCTTTATATTATCAGTGTATTTTAACATGTGATAATAAGTTAGTTACCCTTTATATATATAAATTAATACATATCATCACAGGCATACACATAATTTCTTGTAAGCAACATCGATATTTAAAGAAATAGATGAACAATTCAATATACTGACATCATATAGTGAAAAAATAAAGTTTATGTCCGATTAACAAAATATATTACTACAACTCTCCTCAACGAGTTTCTAGTTACTCTTTTAAAACAGACATAGTACTTAATACTTATTTTTGTATGTAAGAACCAAATAATCTACTTCATTTTTCTAATGTTACAAATTAGTATCGATCAATTTCTTTGCCAAAAAAAGAAAAGATTAGCAAGATAACTTACAATAGAAATAGTAGCAAGTAGCACACAAAATCCCCATAATTGCAAATCGCAGAGAATGAGTGATTTTTTTGGGGGTCTTAGGTTTGATGAAATAATTATAATCCAGAAGGCATTAAAATTATGTTTGCCTGCTGAATTAAACCAAACTCATATTTGGTCTCTTGATTTGGTGTACAGCCCGACGGTCATTTTGAGGTCTAGCATATCCTTCAACGGTTTGAGACCATGAATTGCTTCACTTTATGTATCATGACTTGCGCATGTAATTTTTTTTGATTTTCGAGAAGTTCAGAGTTGATTTAGAAGAATAATTCTCAATTCAGAAGCTTTAAGTTTGAAGAGTTCACCAAGGTTTGATTTTTCAGTAAACAACCACGGAATTGGGATTTGAGGGTTATAATAGGTTCGTATGATATGTTTGGACTTGGGCCTATGTTCGGATTGAGCTTCGAGTGTACCGGGAGCGATCCAGCGCACATTGTTGAAATTCCGCGTCTTGAAGGTTTTAGAGTTTTCTAAGTTTGATTTGAAGTAGACTATAGTGTTATCCATATCTGTTTGAGATTATGAGCCTTGGGATAGGTTCGTACCGTGATTTGTGACTTGTGCATAAAATTTAGCGTCGTTCCGAGTTGTCTAAGTAT